CCCTTGCCAAGGCCAGACCCCAGTAAAACACAAATAATTTGATAGGAAAAATCAAATATATTAATAATCACAAAAATGTAGATTAAAAATTCTAGTTTAAACACAAAGATTAAAAATTTTAAAACAGAATCTAGCTTTATGCTACTTATAATCTAAATCAGGGATCTGCAGACTATGGCTTTTTCTCAGCTCAAATTTGGCCAGTTGCTTTTTTTGTAAGTAAAGTTTTATTGAAATACTGACATGTCTATTGGGTTATGTATTCTCTATGTCTATTTTCATGTCAGAATGACAAAATTGACTGGTAGCAAAGAAACCATATGTCTACAAATCCTAAAATATGTACTAACTAACTGGTCCTTTACAGAAAAAGGTGTCAATACTGACCTAAATCATAAAGAACAAAAAAATTGAACATAAAAAGAAAGAAGAGGGTGCAAGACTATGGACTAGGCACAAAGGCTGTATGGAATCTCTACAACAAAGATAAGAAAACCAAATAAGACAGATGCAGATGAGAGTCCTAAAACTCTGAGCTTCAGATTTTCTCCCACTGTATCTGGGTCCCTCTAATGTGATCTTTTTCAGGGCAGTTGGTAGTGTTAGTGGGGCACCATCTAGTTCTTCTGCTCTCAGAGTCATGGAGACTGATGTCCATTGGATTAATAGATTCCAAGACTCTACTATTTTCACCCAAGTAGTGGATATGTATATAGTAGGTGACAGCCCTAGTAATGTATGCTCTCTATAGAATGGTCAAACATTCAAAATCAAAAGGGCAACATTTTCTTAAGGACATAATTGAGAAGGGATGAGAAGTTGGGTGGAATGCAAATAGGGATAACAAGGAGGATATGGGGTAAATTGCTGCATGTAGAGGCAATCACTGAGATGAAACAAAGAACATGATTTTTGAAGATGGCATTGAAAGCAAAGGAAGAAAGCCCTGGCCCTCCCAAAACTGAAGCCCAAGTAAAGGTGTTGAAGGACAAGAAGTCAGTGTTGAAAGGCATCCACCAGCACACAAAAAAGATCTACACATCACCCACGTTCCGGGGGTCCAAGAAACTGAGGCTCCGACAGCAGCAAAAATATTGTCAAAAGAATGTACTCCAGAGAAACAAGCTTGACCACTATGCCATCATCAAGTTCCCTCTCACTACTGAGTCAGCCATAAAGAACATTGAAGATAATAACACACTTCTGTTTTTTGTGGATGTCAAGGACAACAAGCACCAGATAAAACAGGCTGTGAAGAAGCTCTATGGCATTGACATAGCCAAGGTCAACATCTTGATCAGACCTGATGGGGAGAAGAAGGAATATGTCCAACTGGCCCTTGACTACAATGCGTTGTATGTTGCCAACAAAATTGGAATCATCTAAACAATCCAGCTGGCTAATTCTAAATATAAGTTTTTCAGTACAAACAAACAAATGAAGAACAAGCTGCATGATTTGTTGAATGTAAAGCTGATGATCTTGTCTGTAAACTATCACTCAATTCACAACAAAATGTTTAAATAATAATAAAAAAAAATAAAGTAGAAAGACAAAGGAAAATATGCCTAGCAAATACTAATCAAAAGATATCTGGTACAATTGCTTTAATAAACACTAAAACTTTACTGTGAATGAAGATGGTCTCTAATTAATTAGAATAAGGTTTAATTCAATAAGAAGATATAATAAACACCAAACTCTATGTGCCACAAGTATAGACTCAATACTGAAAAATCTGGTGGATTCCATAGAGGACAGAAATCCTCTGTCATACGAAAGACTCTCCAACTTGACAGATAAAGCAGACAAAACAATATTAAAGTTTGATTCAAAACTTGAAATAGGGGACTTACAGTGAGATGGCAGACAAGGTAGACACACAAAACAGACCCTCGCTAACAAAGATACAAGAGACCAAACAAAACAGACACAGATGAAAATCTTGGCTCCCTGAACATCAGAAGAAAGGTTAGAGAAGTAGATGGAGTGTTTGCTGGGAGAAGAATCTGAACAGGGATGGTGAGAGAGGGAGACTGGTGGACAGCAAAGCAGATGTAGGGCAACCATCTTGAACCTCTGTGAGCAGTTTTGTCACAAGGTGAATGGAAAGGTAAGATTCTTTCTTTTCCCTCATGCTCCCCTGGTGACTAGCGGTGTGGTTAAATTAGTGAACATGGTTGGAAGCCACACCAGTGTAAGGTAGGGTCAGTTGCTCTGATTTGGTGTGCTGTTTTGTTCCCTGGATTCAAGTGGGATTGGCATAGAACTTACAGAACACACAGTATTTAACCAATCACCCTGCCCCAAACTGCCCTGTGGTCCTAACAGACACTGAAATTAGCACCATCAAGGGCTTCCACAAACTACTTTAAATTTTAGTGCCTTGAACATAGATAACACCCAGGCTGCAGGAACTCCATCTAGAACTAGGAACTCCAATATCACATCCCTCCCACAACCAACTCATAGTCCTTAGGCTTGCAGGAGCCACCAAGAGCTTTCTCCACTCTGGGTCAACAGTTACATTGTCTTTGATTTTTATTTTTAAGATTTGGTTTTTCCCTTTCATTGATGTTTCTAAATGTATTTTTTTAAATCCTTGTTTTTATTTTTCTTCTTCTATAGACCTATTTTCTCATACTTCATTTCTCTTTTCAGATATTCCTAAGTGTTTCTTTTTACTTCATCTTTTATTTTCTCTCTCTCTCTCTCTCTCTCTCTTTTTTAACTCTTCTATAGCTCAATTCCCCGGTTCCCTTTTGGCTTTATAGTTGTTATATTCCTTTTTACTGATTGTTATAATCTATTTTCTCTTTATTATTTTAACTTTTCATTGTTGGCACTTTGCTTATTCTGTTTTATTTCTTTGTGTGTGTGTGTGTGTGTCAGAGGGAAGGGTTTTCTCTTTCCCATCTGACAGGAGACAGCAACTATACCCATACAGCCTAGACAGAAATGTACCCTATGCAGCTCCATCCACTGAGAAAGAGCCAATTCCAACTCCTATAGCACCTGATTAACAATATACATCAACAAATACCAGCCAAATTCACCCTAAACTGAGATGCACAAATCACAAATGAAAACAATATATATACTTTCATTCTACAACTACACTCACAAGAGACCGTTAGTTGGTGAGACCCTAAGACCACGCCAACATAAAATCATCAATTATATACAAATACAACCTTCTCACAATACCCCAGACACAGTAGTCAATTTTAACTCACATGAAGAAATAAGAAAGGATGACTCAAAGATTCAAACAATATGAAAAGCGAGAATATGATTCTGATGAAGAAAAGATAATGGAACTAACTGAAAAAGAATGCAAATGAATGATATTTAGGTGCCTTCAAAGGATTAACAAAAAGATCAAGGGAAGCAAGAACACAGAAAAACTTCAGAAGAATTCAGGAAAATCCCATGAAGCTCATGCCTTATACAACAACCAACTCAGCATGGATTAAACACCTAAATGTGTATCCCAGAATTATGAAGGCCATCAGTGAAAAACTGGGACACATGTGAGGACTCTAAATCAGGGCATACACAGACTACCAAACATTTTGAAAACTACACAAACAAAAATAGACAAAATAGATGAGTGGGACATACAAAAAATTAAAAACTTATGTGCATCAAACGACTTCACCAGAAGAGTAAAAAGGGAACCCACAGAATGGGAAAAAATCTTTTGCAACAACACATCAGACAAGGGACTCATTTCTAAAATATATAAAAAACTAAACACCTCTACAAGAAAAATACAAATAACCCAATTAAAAACTGGGCACAGGACGTGAACAGACACATCACCAAGGAGGAGATCTGGGCAGCCAACAAACATGAAAAAATGTCATGATCACTAGCCATTAGAGAGACGCAAATCAAAACAACAATGAGCTATCATCTCACACCAGCAATAATAGCAAAGATCAAAAAAGTAGAAGACAATAAATGCTGGTGAGAATGTGAAGAGACTGGAAAGGTCCTGCATTGCTGGTGGGATTGCAAAATAGTCCAACCTCTCTGGAAAGCAATATGGCGCTTCTGCAGAAGGTTGGAAATAGAAATACCTTATGATCCAGCAGTTCCTGTGCTTGATATTTTCCCACAACAGATACAAGTAGATATATGCACACCAATGTTCATAGCAACACTATTTACAATAGCAAAAAGATGGAGACAGCCTAAGTACCCATCAACTGAAGAATGGATAGACAAACTGTGGTACGTAATCACAATGGAATATTATGCTACATTGAAGAACAACAAGGAAGCTGCAAGCCACCGTACAACATGGATGAACCTTAAAGACATTATGTTGAGTGAAATAAGTCAGTCAGAAAAGGAGAAATACTGCATAGGGCCACTATTGTAGAAAACTAAGAAAAAGAACCCATACTAAAAGGGAGGAGAGGGGAAAACTCTTTGTTGGTTACTGGGATTAGTGGATGGGGTGAGGGGAGGGAGGGGAAGGTGGAGCACAGAACAGACACAAGATAGTTTGGGTGCTGGAGAGGGGGAGCAATACAAAAGAAGGGGGAGGGGAATGGAAGAATAAGGCTGATGGGAGAACAGTTAAGCAGGTTTGCATGGGCTAAGTGGGACAGAGATAAATAATGATGTATGCAGAACCTTGGAAGAACAGGGCTCTGGAATACAGGCATTGAGACATGGTTGGAATGGACAAAACTGGGGAAATAATGGTAAGATGCTTGGTTGTCTTTTGAATCTTGGTGTCTCTTGCATACCATTATAAAATAGACACTTGAAGGGGAGAGAAAAGAATAGCCAGAAACATCACCATAGAAAGCTTGTAAGCCCATCTTCTGCCTATAACTGATGGGAATACCTAAAATGGGGCTACAACATGCCCAGTGAAGGAGGCTTCCTGCAGAGCCTCTGCATTGCATTGCATAAGACCATACATGGAACCCTGAACCCCATACAGAATCATCTGAGGTGGGAAATTGCCATTTGAAAGGATAAGCAGATCAGCCTGGAGTGACTAGAAGAACAGAAGATAATTCTTGAAAGAAAGACTGAGAGGAAAAATACAAAACAATAACAGCAGTCTGACTGACTTCTACAAGAACAAGCAAGTTGCCCAACCAGGAGACATCAAGGCAAGCAATCGGATCCCCTCAAGACAAATCCCCTTCTAAGACTAAGAATCAATGGGAATATATGAGCAGACATGCACTCTGACTGGTGACCATGTTGATCACTGATAAGGGAAATTGAGGGAAAAACAGCAGTGAAGCTATGAGCTAAGTCCATCCATGTTCAATAGACTTCTGTGAATCTAGGTGAACACCTGGTTGGCCAGCAGTTTGGCAAGACTTGGGGACTCCTGGACCCAGAGTCAGTGACATAGCCACAGAGGACTAGAGTGGAGAATGAACTTCCCAGCTTATAAGAAGAACTGTACAAGAACACCCACACTTGCAGGTAACATCCACTTGACCTGGTTTTAATGGCTGGATGATCAGAGCTCAACTAGAAGAAGAAAAAAGAGGAAAAAAAGAGTAATCTGCTACAATTTGATGAACTTGACCTACACCTATGGATGCAGTAGCTCAAAAGAGGAAACAAATCTTTACAGCGAGGATCATTCCCACCCCCTCCATACACAGAGTAGACAGGGATGGGCAACTTGGACATTGGCTACCCAAACAGGGGTGGGGGGAATTACAAAGGCAAGAAGTGACTGGCTTACAAGCTTTCAAGAGGGAGCCTAGCTCCAGATGGCACAGAGGAAGGTAGAATCCCCACTGAGTAGTATCTAATCTATCTGGGCGGGACCAGTGAAAGGAGACAGGGCTAACACTCATGTGGTGCAATAGTGAATAATTACTATCAGGACTGACTGTAAGGATTGGAAATATAAAGGTAGACATTTTGTAGCAAAAGGAGGAGAGTGGTTGACTTTGAAGTCCAGGAGTGGAGATCCCTGGCACCATCAAGGGAGAAGACTGGAGAGCAGGACCCTACTCAGAGAAACAGTGATGCCAGAGATGGAGGCAGAGACGATGTCATGGAGGGATGGGCCGGCTGGTAACTCTAGACCCAGAGAGGGAGATGGGCAGTGTGCTGACAACCAGAGGGCAGGCTTGCGGGGTGTACCTTTTGGTTGGTTGATGATGCATGGAAGGGATTGTAACCGTGGCAATGTAATGATTTATGATAGGATGAATGTAAAGCTAATGTTCTCCCAAGTAAACTATCACGTAATTCACAATAAAATAGTTTGAAAAAAAAAACATGAAGAAGAGGAAGAACTTACAAGTGATTGGAATTCCAGAACTAGAAGATACAATAGAAAACAGAGAAAATTGTCAATGCCTGGTTGGAAGAAAACTTGCCTAAATCATGCAAGATGAGAAGATATGTCTTTCATACAAGAGGTTGCAAGAACCCCAAGCAAGATGGATCCCAAAAGAAAATCACCAAGACATATCATAATCAAGCATTTTCTTCAAAAAACAGGAAAAGAACCCTGAAAGCAGTTTTGAGGAAATGAAAAGTTACCTGCAAAAGAGAACCAATAAAAATAACCTCTGATTTCTCAGCAAAAACCAGGCAAACAAGAAGGCAATCTGAAAGAAAAGAACTGCCAACCAAGAATCATATACCCAACAAAGTTGTCCTTCAAATATGACAGCAAAATTAGGACATTTCCTGACAAATAGAAATTTAAAGAATTTGCAATGACTAGTCAAACTTTACCAAAAAAATGCTACATGGTGTCCTTTAGACTGAGTACCAACAACAACAACAACCACCTTAGATTACCATATATGACAACACCCAGAACTCAATCCAGATTTAAAAGTATTTAAAATATTACAAGCCTACAAGTCTGACAATAGTGAACCAGAGATAACAAGTGATAATGAAACCAACTACAAAGCAAAAATCTATCCCTTGGTACATGGAGAGAATTGCAGTCATTGTAATGAAGCAAAGTATATGATTTCTTGAATGTAAAACTGGTGATCTGCACATAAACCTTCACTCAGTTCACAATAAAATGTTTAATTAATTAATTTAATTAAAGGATGATAAAAATATTTTAAAAACTTGAAAAAAATGCAAATTCTTTTATTTAACTTTAAATGAATTATGCTGATGTAAGAGACACTGGCCAATTATTATTTGTGGTATGTCTCCAAGAGCTTCCAAATTCATGAATAAATGTTTCCAGTTTATTATATGAAAAACTGAACTCTTGGCATATATATTTGAATCCTTACATTTGTCAAGGAAGAATTATAGCTACATATGAAAATATTTATTTCTATCAAAATGGATAGTGTTTACCTCTGTCAAATCAAACACCTTAATTTTAGAACATGAGAGTAATGTTTTGAATATTTTCCTATATGTGTATTATTCTATTTTAAATGAAAGAAGGAAAATTAAGCACACATACAAAATTCCCAAACCATAATTTGGAACCATCCTACAGGTAATTAAAAAAAAACACGCACACACAACCATACCCTTGTGCACGACTGCTTCTCCTCTAATCCAACCAGGTGCTGTCAAATCGACTTCAACTCACAGCAATCCGTGTGTTTCAGAGGAGAGCTTTGCTTACAGAGTTTTCTTTATGAGTGTGATTTTGAGTGAAAGTTTACAAGTAAATAGGTTGTTCCTTCAACACTGCATACATATTTTGTTTTGTGACATTGACTGCAATTCCCACAATGCAACAGCACTCTTCCCACTTCCTCCCTGTGTTTGCTATTTCCTTTGTTCTTTCCCACCCGTTCCCCCTTTCTGAGTTTTATCCCTGGGCAAATGCTGCCCTTTTGATCTGATATGGTTGCTTGTTGTAAGAGGTTCATGCCTCTCTGGTGTTACTGTTCACTTGACTGAATATTGATCCATAGGGGTAAGCTCATTCCAGTTTTGAAGTGTGTCTAGGGGTCACAGTCTCAGGGATTCCATCAGTTTCTATCAGGCCAGTTACCTTGTCTCTTTTCTTTTCTTTTTTTTATGAATTTGGGTTTTGTTCCACACTTAGCACTGACTCTATCCCTTTCAGAGTGGTCAACAATGGTAGCCGGGCACTTTCTACATCTTTTGGTCTCTGGACCCGTGGAAGTTTAAATTCACATGATCCATTGGAGTCTTTGTGTGGCACTGTAGAATAAGCAATGAATTGCTAACCACAAGGTTTGGGGTTTTAACACAACAGGTACTACTTGGAAATCCTATGCAGGGTTGCTATTAGTCAGAATTGACTTGATGTCACTTAATAACAACATTAGTCCTTTGAACTATTTGCTTTCTTGAATCTTTGCTTTTCTTCATTCTTCATTGTTCCATACAAGCAAAGACCTTAGATGACTACTCACAAGGTTTTAAGACCCTACTCATCAATATATATATATATTTTTTTTTTTTTTAATGTTTTATTGTGAATTGTGTGATAGTCTACATGGGAGAACATCAGCTTTACATTCATTCCATCATCCATCATTTCGTTGTCATAGTTATCATCCTGTCCATGCATCCTCACCCAACCAAGGGGTGTACCCTGTAAACCTGCACCCGCCCCACCACAGTCCTCAGCCCCTTTCCCTCTCCTGAACCCTAGCCCCCAGCCCCACCATCTCTTGACGTTGTCTTCTCTGCCTCCATCCCAGGCCTCACTGCCTCTCTGGGTAGGATTCTGCTCTTCTCTCTTCTCCATTGATGGTCCCAGGGTCCTCCGCTCCTAGACTGACAAATTAATCACTCCCTTCTTTGTTACAAAATGTCCATCTTTAGATTTCCAACCCTCACAATCAGTCCTGATAACAATTATTCACCATTCACCATTGCATCACAAGAGACCCATCTATATTCCGTTTCATCAGCCCTTCCTGGACAGGCTGGACACCACTCACTGGAGACTCTACCTTCCTCCATGCCCTCTGGATCTAGGTTCCCTCTTGAAAGCTTGTAAGTCAGTCACTTCTTGCCTTTGTATCCTTCCCCCCATTTTGGGTAGCCAATGTCCAAGTTGCTCATCCCTGTCTACCCTTTGTGTGGAGGGGGTGGGTATAGTTCTTGCAGCAGGGACTTGTTTCCTCTTTTGAGCTACTGCATTCATAGGTGTAGGTCCCTACTCATCAATAGTTTGAATTGCATAAGTACCATGCACTAGCCAATTGGATTATTGGAACTCTCAACAAAAGTAAAAATGCTACTTGCTGCATTTTTGGCAGGAACTAAAAGTTGACAATAGCCTACGTGTGCAAATAGAAGAACACATAGATGGACATATAAGTGTGCAGTGGAAAACCATACATCACTACTGAACAAGAGCTATTCAGAATAGCATAGCTGGATTTGCTACAGCAGGATATGGAGAAAAGTAACATAAAGTAAATTGCAAAGAGATAAAGAATATATAAGATTTGAAGATAAAATAATTGTTGTATGATAAATCCCAGTTTCAGAAGATCTCTCCCGATGAAGAATGAGGGACTGAAAAAAAGGTAGAAAAGGGTTTCATAGGCTACACAGTACATCCATGAGTGGACCATTTGTGAAATCAGAAAAATTAATAAAGTACATAATGTAACAGCTTCAATTTCAAACCCAATAAAATGTATGTTCCCTTCCTTTGGATTTCCCTAGAACACCCAAAACCAAGCTCACCTTTATCAAGTCAATTCCAACTCGCAGTGGCTCTATACTGGATTTCTGAGACTGTAAATCCTTGTGGGAGCAGACAGGCTCATCTTCCTCCCACAAAGTGGCATGTAGGTTTGAACTGCTGACCCAACACCTAACCTACGGCATCACCAGAGTTCCTTCTGGATTTTCCTAGCCATCATTATTTGTGTCGCACACCTCTCACGGAATCACTGTTATGTTTCAATATAGCCAAAGAATCTTGAACTGGTTTCCTGTTTGTCCACCTATTCTGTGAGCATCATAAGAATTACCACTGGTCACTGTAACAAAAGGTCCTCACAAGGACAAAAGCGCACCATGGGAGTGCAGTTACGGTCCCACACACATGTCTATGTGTGTGTGCATGTTTAAGTGCAAATAAGAATCTGCATGCATGTGCACTCTACCTTTGTGTGCTGGGATATGCATGGATATGTGGTATGGTATATGTGCATATGAAGATAGTACACATGTGTGAGTGCATGATCTGTGTGTATAGGTATGTGAATGTGTGTGCATGTGATCATGTGGGTGTGCATGAGAGCACCAGGTGGAGATGGTGCCAAATGAAGCCTTGGGGAAACTAGCCTAAACACCAGAGTGGGGAGGGAGAGGGAAGGCAGAGTAATCTTATGTTTACAGTTTCTGTGAATACATGGCCTCAGGACCTTTCTGTGCAAAGTCAACTCCAGCATCCTGACTGACAGTCCCCATAATGCAGGGAGATGAAAAACAAACATTGAAACTTAATTGGAAAGTTGACTCAATGGTGATGAAGTTTGCTTGGAAGCAAACTACAGCAACAATATGGACACAGAGATGTGGGCTCGGCTTCTACGGGAAGCCTGGGCTAGAGAGTCTGTGACGTTGTCAAAATTGAGCATTATACCAAACAGAGACTCCCAAACAGGAAAAAAGGGATTAGGATGACACAGGGAAACAATAATTACACTTCTGTGCTGCCTGGACGCCCAGGACCCAGGTATAAAAGCCACCGACTGGAAGGAGTCTCCACTCCAGAACCCACCTTCGCCCTGACACTTCTCCAGCGAAACACAACAAGATGTGTGACACCTCCTGCTCCTCAGGCAACCAGTCGGGCAGTTCCATGCCCATGTACTGCACACCCCTGACTTGTGTTTCCACTGCCAGCTCCTCGTCCTCGTCCTCGGGCTCTGGGAGCTCCTCCAGTCACCCTGTGTCCTATATGACTGTGCTGTACAGCCCTGTGAGCGGCATGGCCTCCTCCAGCCAGTCACCCTGTGGGGCTTCCAGTAGCTCCTCCGGTAGAGGCCAGTCATCTTGTGGCAGCTCTTCCAGCGGCATGACCAGTGGCTCATCCAGCCATGGCCAAGTTGCCATCCTTGTTCCTGTGAGCAGCAGTTCCTCCTCCAGCCACTCACCCTGTGGGACTTCCAGCAGCAACTCTGGTGGCAGCCAGTCATCTAGTGGCAGCTCTTCCGGAGGCATGACCAGCGGCACGTCCAGCCCTGGCCAAGTAGCCTGCATTGTGCTCATGAGCGGTGAGCCCTCTTCCAGCCAGTCACCAAGTGGGTCTTCCAGCAGCTGCTCTGGAGGCGGCAAGTCATTATGTGGCAGCTCTTCCTGTGGTGTAACCTGCAGCACATCCAGCCCTGGCCAAGTTTTCCACTTTGTGCCCGTGAGCATCGTGTCCTTGTCCAGCCAGTCATCCTGTGGGGTTTCCAGCAACTCCTCTGGTGGCAGCCAGTCATCTAGTGGCAGCTCTTCCGGAGGAATGACTGGCGGTGCATCCAGCCCTGGCCAAGTTGTCCACTTTGTGCCTGTGAGCAGCGTATCCTTGTCCAGCCAGTCATCCTGTGGGTCTTCCAGCAGCTCCTCTGGTGGCTGCCAGTCATCTAGTGGCAGCCCTTCCAGTGGAATGACTGGCGGTGCATCCAGCCCTGGTCAAGTTGCCATCCTTGTGCCTATGAGCAGCGGTTCCTCCTCCAGTCAGTCATCCTGTGGGGCTTCCAGCAGCTCTTCTTGTGGTGGCCAGTCATCTAGTGGCAGCTCTTCTGGAGGCATGACCGGCGGCATGTCCAGCCCTGGCCAAGTAGCCTGCATTGTGCTCATGAACGGCATGTCCTCTTCCAGCCAGTCACCCAGTGGGTCTTCCAGCAGCTGCTCTAGTGGTGGCAAGTCATTATGTGGCAGCTCTTCCTGTGGTGTAACCTGCAGCACATCCAGCCCTGGCCAAGTTGTCTACTTTGTGCCCGTTAGCGGCATGTCCTCCTCCAGCCAGTCACCCTGTGGAACTTCCAGCAGCTCCTCTGGTGGCGGCCAGTCATCGAGTGGCAGCTCTTCCGGAGGCATGACTGGCGGCACATCTAGTCCTGGCCAGGTTGTCTTTCTTGTGCCTGTGAGCAGCAGTTCCTCCTCCAGCCAGTCATCCTGTGGAGCTTCCAGTGGCTCCTCTGGTGGAGGCCAGTCATCTACTGGCAGCTCTTCTGGAAGCATGACCTGTGGCATGTCCAACCCTGGTCAAGTGGCCTTCTTTGTGCCCATGACCTGCAAGCCTGCCATGTACATGGTCCCCTCCAGCCAGTCTTCCTGCTCATAAACATCTACTGCCCAACCCAAATACCCTGGAACTACTGCTCTGGTCATACACAGGAGCCATGGTGAGATCTTTCCTTCTGAGTCAACACTGCATCAGTGCAAACTAAGAAGGGCTTCTTCCCCAGATCCCCTTGGAGTGTGGGCAGAGGCACAATCCAACAACCTTGCTTCTGGCTTTCTCCTTGTCTTCCTCCACCACAACTTTCAAGAAAAATCAACCTTACAACAAAGATCATTCCCACCCCCTCCATATACAGAGTAGACAAGGATGGGCAACTTGGACATTGGCTACCCAAAAGGGGGGGGGGGGCTACAAAGGCAAAAAGTGACTGGCTTACAAGCTTTCAAGAGGGAACCTAGATCCAGAGGGCATGGAGGAAAGTAGAATCTCCACTGAGTGGTATCCAATCTGTCTAGGCGGGGCTGATGAAAGGAAATGAGGACAGGTCTCTTGTGATACAATAGTGAATAATTGTTATCAGAACTGATTGTGAGGGTTGGAAATGTAAAGGTAGGCATTTTGTAGCAAGGACAGGAGTGATTGATTTTGCAGTCTAGGAGCGGAGGTCCCTGGGACCATCAAGGGAGAAGAGTGGAATGTGGGACCCTACCCAGAGAAGCAGTGATGCCTGAGATGGAGGCAGATGGAGGCAGAGATGATGACATGGAGAGTTGGAGCAGCTGAGGATGTTAGACACAGAGAGAGAGAGGGGATGTGTGCTGATGACCAGGGGTCAGTCTTGTAGGGTATACCCTTTGGTTGGTTGATGATGCATGGAGGGGCTTGTAACCATGGCAATGAAATGATTTAGGATAGGATGAATGTAAAACTAATGTTCTCACATGTAAACTAGCACATAATTCACAATAAAACATAAAAAAAAAAAAAAAAAGACAAGAAAAATCATAATATCATCTGGATTTTCCCTAAATTAATAAATTTGCTGGGTTTCTTTCTTCTTCTTTGGTATCTCATGGTCTAAAGTGTTGTTTTCTAAGACTTGCCCAATGTGAAAGTTAACACCACCAAATGGGAGGCCCCGAGTGGCCCAGGGAAAAGGAGAAGCAGAGTCACAGCTCTCTGCCCACGATTCTTCAAACTGAACAAGAGGGGTCTCTGCTATTTAGAGGATCCCATCTCTTCCTCTTACCATACAAATACCCTCCTTGTTCTGATGTGCCATTTCCCATCTTGCTCCCAATTTGGGGGATGAGAATGTTCATTTGTGTGTCGTTTTATGTTTACATGCATTTGTGGGGGGTCGGGGTATGAATGTATATGTAACTGCACATGTGTGCTTAAGTGTATTATGCATTTGTGCATGTGTTATATGATTGTGCCTCTGAGTACATGTGTGAGTATGTGTACATGACTGTGCCTCTGATCACATGTGTGCAAGTTGTGTGTGTGTATACTTGTACATACCTGCATGACAGTACGCTTGACTGACTACACATGTGTATAATTGTGCACATGTGTGAGAGTATTGTGTGTGTTCATTTATATATGTGTGAGTGGGTTGATGTGTGTCCATGTACATGACTTAGAGGGGGCACTGTGTGCAATCACGTGTGTCATTTCACGTTTGCAGAGGTACATGGGAGTGAAGGGATCATGTATGTTTTACGTGAATGTTTATTGGCATATGCATTCATGTACATTGTGTTTGATGTGTACACTGACATGTGGGAACTGGGGTGTGTATATATACATTCAAGGAAAACTGGTAGCATAGTGGGTATGAGTCAGGGTAACCTCTAGGTCAGCAGTTCAAAATTACTAGCAGTTCCGTGAGAGAAAGATGAGGATTTTTACTGCCATAAATATTTGCAGCCTCAGAAACCCTATACAGGGTCTCAATGAGTCAGAACCCACTCCATGATACACCGTCACCTCCACCACCATGCATCCATTATATGACTGTATACATATGTGTATGTGTGTGAGTCCACCTGTTATGGGAGCTGTCAGGACATTTCACAATCATAGAACTCAGAGATGAACAAATATTTGTATGGCCTACAAACCTGGATGAGCAGAACTTGGAGACCCATGGACAGCACACAAATTCCCCCCTCACTTCCCTGTTCAAACCCCCTCTGCAGAACCATCTCTTACCAGGCCCTTGTCTGATATTGAGGGCAGGTTCCTCCACCCTCACATGGTGAATGCCTTCTGATTATTTCAAAAGAGAGTCTTGGGGGCAGGGCTTGATGGCGGCTAGGGTGAAGGTGTAGTGAAGGTCACCATCAGCAATAACTCAGAATTCCAGGCAAAAAAGAGGCAAGACAGAGTTCCAAAACTCAGACCCACAGAGATAGGAATAGTTTTAAGGTTTGAAGGCTTATAGCCTGTGGAATTTGGAGCTGAGGTGGGAAATTGTGTATTTTTGAATCTGCCAGCTAGGCTCAGAGGTCTGAACCCACATGCTGGGTGAGACCAAGCAGCGGGATGAAATAGGGGCCGCAGAGATGCCACAGAAACACGCCACGGGAACCTTGGGGGGAAAAAAGGTGCACATTATACTTTGCTGATTTTGTGCGGTTCCGATTTTATTTTTTTCTTTGGTGTCAGGTGATAGGTGTGCTCACTGTTTGCCCACCTCCATTCGGGTGAATAGAGGTAGGGGCTTAGCCAAGTGGCCACAACCCACCCTCACTGCTGGCAGTTTCCTCTGCCAGGAACCCATACACTCAGCCCAAGCTGAGACGCGGATTTGGTGGGCCTTTTTTAACTGGTTTGAGAGGGGTCCTGGCGTAGCGCTGTAGGTTAAGGTGCTGCACTGCAAATTCTTTTGAACTGCAAGGTCGGTGGTTCAAGCTCACCAGCCGCTCCTCGGAAACCCTATACTGGAGACGCGGATGTGCGTCCTATTTGGTCTGCTTTTTTTCACTGGTTTGAGAGGCATCCTGGCGTAGCACTGTGGGTTAAGGCACCACTGCAAAGCCTTTTGAACTGCAGGGACGGTGGTTCAAACTAACCAGCTGTTCCTTGGAAACCCTATACAGGAGTCACGGATGTGTGTCCTATTTGGTCTGCCTTTTTTCACTGGTTTGAGAGGAGTCCTGGCGTAGCGCTGTGGGTTAAGGCGCCACATGGAAAATTCTTTTGAACTGCAAGGTCGGTGGTTCAAGCTCACCAGCCACTCCTCAGAGACCCTATACAGGGTTGCTACGGGTCGGGGTCGGAATTGACTCGACAGCACTTAACAACAAGGAGAGGAGGGAAGAAGTGACTGAAAGAGAGTTAGGATATTAAAGACATACTTATATAAAGCTACAGAATTATATTTATTTATTTATTTTCTTCTTCCTCTTTTTCTTCTCCGCCCCACTCTCCCTTTTTGTGATTAGATACTGCTGTATTTAGTCTTGTTTTTGCTG